CACACACACACACACACACACACACACACACACATATTAAAGTTAACTTTGATTTTTATAAATATTAAAATATAAATTATTTATTTTAATAATTAAATAATTTAAATTATAGTGATCCATTTGATGACAACAAGTAGTGCAGCGACTTCCCTTTCTTTCATATTTGGCGTGTGTTCTTACCGGAAATCTACCGTAGAGGTGATTCGCCAGGTTGGCTTAATAGGGCTGCTATTTATTTTTGTGTTTTATAATATTTAGTTGGATTTGCGCCTCTCTTTCTAATGTGCGCAGCTTTTCTTTATTGGAAATTTCTTATGTCATTAAAAAAGAAATTGTAGAAAGTAGTCTTTCATATGTTATTTTTTTTTGTTCATTTTGTAAATTTGCTTGAAGTAATTTATCTAAATATATATTGCAGGCATATATGTATGGATTCTTCAAGAACAAGAGAATTGTGCTTTATGACACATTAATTCAACAGGTTAGGAATTATTAACTATAGATAGTTATTTTGTCTTTCAGGTTAATATACAGCTTCTGTCTTAGAAGAGATTTATTTGTATAAATTTCTTACTTTTTTGGTTTCTACTTGTTCTCAAGCTGATTCTTATTAAAAAAAATTCTTGAGCAAGTCTTTGCCAATGTTAGATTTATATTCCCTCTACCTGCTCTATTTAATGATGTAATAGCGACATTGTAAAATTCCTATTTTGAAGGCTAGCTAGGTTTAGTTTGTACTCAAACTTATATTCAAACTGATTTAGGTATCTGAGTTTTTTTCTCTCCATTATTAACTAGAAGTTTATTGCCCTGAATTAATGAATATCTAATATAATGGCTGGCTTGCCTATGTTTTCTGTATAAGTATTGCTTCTCTTTAAACTATTGGCGATAAATGACTAATGATTGATATTTATTGCATTCAAATTATACAATGACTGCTCCTTTGCAATATTTTGATTTTAGGACAAAAATAAACTATCATAAATTGAGTTTACTTTCAGCTTTTAGTGGCATTATGATATATGAGTAGTTTATGGTGAGTGTCAAAGTGTCCTTATCAAATACTCAATTTGAGAATTGCGGTTTAGTTATGAGTGGATCTTTACGTTATCAAATGATGTTATACAGTGCAAAAATGATGAGGAAATTGTTGCTGTTATTGCCCATGAGTTGGGACACTGGAAGCTCAACCATACTGTGTACACGTTTGTTGCTATGCAGGTTTGTGTAATAGCATTTCTGAGCTTAAAGTGAATACTTGATTATCTTTGTATTCATTACTCATTATAATAGAATGTTTGTGTGGGTTCACTTTGTGAATCCATCAACCATATGTCGCCAAGAACTTAAGACTTGCATTTGATGATGTAACTATAAACAATGTATATGGCAATGAAATATTCTGCTATGAATTTGTAAATTCAATGAAATCCTTATCTTTTGTAGAGTACCTTTATAAAATCAAAGGCATGCTTCAATTGGATTATCTTAAAATATCATAAAGTAGACTTTCCTCCTCAAAGAGATGCTTAAATTATGCTCCCTCATATGTTAGATGTTTTAATTATACTCTCCTCCCCCCTCATTTTAAAATTTACACTTCTCTCCCTTGAGAGATGAAACATGCTACGCTTCATTTCAATTTAATGACAATGAGCCTCTTAATTCTAGTGAGCAGTTATGAATGAGCCTCTTGGGGATATTTTTCTTTATTCAACTTGCAGTGTTAATTATAGCTAATTTTGAGCTTCTTATTATTGATTTTAGGATTTTTAAAGGCGACCTGATGTTTTGAACTCCCCATTATTAGTTTGGAACTTCAAAATTAACTGCTGATGATGCTGAGTGTCATACAGAGGAAAAAAATGTCATGACAGTCTCATTCTCATTAAAATATATTGAAATTTGGCACATGTTAATCTCTCGGGGATGGGAGTACTCATTTTTCAAACAGAGAGGATGGAAGTGTAAGAGGGGAGCGGAAATTACCCCTTTGTGTTCTGTCTATCAAACATATTGCATTAGTCGAGTTTTTCATCATGTCAAATAGAGTTCAATATTTAAATGAAAAGGCATTGCAACATTTGACTATCAGATTATGCTTTAATATATTGTTGTAGGTTCTTACACTTCTGCAATTTGGAGGATATACTCTGGTGCGAAATTCAACTGATCTATTTCGAAGTTTTGGGTTTGATACACAGCCAGTCCTCATTGGGCTCATCTTATTTCAGGTTTATTTCAAAATTATGGTCTTTCCATCTATAAAAGAATTTTTTTTGCTTGATTTCAATTTTGATATACATCTTGCTGCAGCATGAGTGAGATATACAATCAACTTTTATGCTAACAATCTGATTATATTTGTTTCTTTTAAGATAACCTGCTACCTGCATGGTCTATATTCAATTAACATGATATATATAATGTTTAAGCATTCGATATAGTTAATGCTAAAAGGAAGAATAGTTTCATGAAGCCACTAGGAGTGGTATTTAAGTATTTTGCAGGAGGTCCCAAGTTTGAGCCTCTGTGCCATTATTCTTTTTATATAACCTTGGCTGATTTTATTTCCGTAGCACTTGACATCCTTTCACCTGTATTTAATTGCAGCATACTGTAATCCCCCTACAGCAATTGGTCAGCTTTGGTCTGAACCTTGTGAGCAGATCATTTGAATTTCAGGTTACTTGCTTTTTCTTCTCTTTTCATCCCTCTTTTCTTGTCAATGTATTTTGTTTACAAGTTACTTTGTCCAAATACATTTCCATTTTCACCTACCCTTTTATAACTCCAACCATGACCAAGCATAGACTTGATCTTCCATGTGTGTGTGCTATTTCTCCTTTTGATTTTGGTTGTGTATTTATGCAGGCTGATGCCTTTGCTAAGAAGCTTGGATACGCCTCTGAACTACGGTCTGGTCTTGTGAAACTACAGGTGACATTTTATTATCAATACTTGCATATGATTGAAGCTACTTCTTTCTACTCGATCTTTACACTTCTTTAATTTTTACATATTTCAAAATTTCAAAATACTTTCTAAATTAACTCTTATATATTAGAAACAAACTTCTACCTTGTGTGAAAAATTTTAAGAATAAAAAAAGAGAAATAGAATAAAAACTTATATAAAAAAATATAGCAGGTTTTGTAAGAGGAATTTAGTTATATGGGAGCTTAGGGAAGAGAAAGAGATGGAGAGCTATGAACAATCTGATGGTTAGTTATGAGCAGAGAGCCTTGCCCCCTATAGGAGCTTAGCACTTGGCAATAGGAATATTGGTTCCTCTGTAATATTTCATTAAGTAATGAGTTATAATGAGATGATGTTGTGGATTTTCCTTGTGTACTTTACATATATAAATGTTCTCTTTTCTCACCGTACAATCTGTGGATGTTTTAGGTGAGAAAGATCCAGCTATGAGTGGCATCTAGAATGCCAACAGTTGAATTGTGGGTATGCTCTGATATTGTGACATCAGGGCAGAGGATTCTAGGACATGGAATTTTTTTATATAGATTTGGAGTTGTGCTTATCGTGTAAAACTTATGGCTCGAGGAGGATTTGACAAGTGTCCTCTATTGTCTCTAAGATATGCCCTGAAACAGAAAGCTTTTGCTATCAGTGAAGAATGTTGCATCCATATTAAATTTGAAAAAGCCAACAAGGAAAGGGGTCCATTTAGTGGTATGGCGGTGTTGTGGTTGTTGGCTTTTCACCATTCATGGAGAATTTCTAAGGATAAGTATTTTTGTTACTCTAGATATACCATAGAATCATGAAGAATTTACTGACTTGGGCATGAGTAGCTGAGTTGTTAAAGAATTTTTTTACTTTCTTATCTATTTCAATTTTTATTTATTATAATTATTTATAAATTAAATATTAGTATTTTAAAATAAATTCTTAATAAATAAAAATAATTTTTTATTATAATA